ATCAAAATTTAAATTTGGCTTACAATCACTGTAACTACAGCATAGCCCAGTGAATACGTCTTAGGTTTTTTTTTTTTTTTTTTTTTGAGACAGAGTCTCCCTCTTTGCCCGGGCTAGAGTGAGTGCCGTGGCGTCAGCCTAGCTCACAGTAACCTCACACTCCTGGGCTCAAGCGATCCTACTGCCTCAGCCTCCCGAGTAGCTGGGACTACAGGCATGCGCCACCATGCCAGCTAATTTTTTCTTAATTTTTTTTTAGTTGTCCGATTAATTTTTTTCTATTTTTAGTAGAGACGGGGTCTCGCTCTTGCTCAGGCTGGTTTCGAATGCCTGAGCTCAAACAATCCGCCCGCCTCGGCCTCCCAGAGTGCTAGGATTACAGGCGTGAGCCACCATGTCCGGCCACGTCTTAGTTTTTAAATGTTATTTTATTTTGTTTTGGTCACTGAAATCTGTTCCATCTCCACATATAGGATAATACTAAGTCACAAAGCCTAGGCAAAAATCAATCCTAGTTTTGTAGGATAGTGTTTTCTCAAGGAGCAGTCAAAGGACTTGAGGCAGTTTTTAAAAGCTCCTTCAGGTAGTCTATAAACTTTTTTTTTAGTATTCATGTTTATACCATACTTTTTTCTATGTTATAAATAAATTATAATCATTAATTTAAAAAGTAATTGATTTCATTAAAAATACCATTCATTTCAGACCAATTGTTTTTCCAGAGAGAAAAACAAATAGATTTAGCGATCTGTAGTATTGTATTTTCCATTAATACAATTCATTTCAATTAGAACAGTAACACATGAGATGTCTTTTTAAAATCTATTTTCCTACTTTCAAACAATTAAATTTCTTACCAACCTTCACAAGTGGAATCTGTTCAATAGGTACATTTTCAACTGGGACATAACATGTATAGCAGTAGAACATTCTTGAACTGCCACATTTGAGACACTTTGATCTCCCACTTTGCTGAGCTTTTTGAAGAACTTCTTGAGATGCTAAGCATAAGTTCTGAAGGGGATCTTCTGAAGCTATGGAAGTAGGTTGTAACTGTTTTGTTTCCACAAATTCTGAAGTATTTTCTTCACTTTCTTCAAGAAATATAGGTGGATTAACAGACATTCTTCATTCCAACCAAAGTTTAGTATTTATTTTTAAAATATAAATGATAAGTACACTGTAAAAAAAACAAAGTGTAGAGAGGGGATAAAATAGAACAGGAAACATTTTACTATCTCTACAAAGAAAATTACTCAATTTAATTCACAATTGTGTGCTATTTTCAGTACTTATTAACAAATATTAATAAATTTTAAAAACTACTAAATTGGCATGTTTTAGAATATAAAACTGGAGAGCAATGAACTCAAAACAACAAATTGGTAACCCTTTTGGGCCATTCCCTCCACATAAATAGAAAGGTGCTATCTTAGAAAAATTATTTCAAATACCAAGTTTAGGTACTGACAATCTATTTTTGAAGAACCCTTTTTCTTCCAGAGATCGCAATTTTGTCTTATAAATATTAGAAATTCAATGGTTTCATGTTAATATTAGTGAATATTAGAACATATTCAACCCTGTAGGCTCTGACTTGGAATTGATATTATATAACATCAAATCTCATGCTGAACTCTAATGAAAATAGAAGGTTCCAGTGAGATCAGTAAAATTTGGATATATTGGATATATTCTAAAAGATAGATTCCTCTCCAACTTAAAACACTCTGTATATAAAACTAAATATCCACTAAAAAATGAGAGGCATTTACTACCAATTATAATTTGCAAAATATCCCATAAGGTGAAATATATTATCTTATAAATTTTAAAATTTTACAGAGTAACACTAACGTCCACTCTAAGAATTTACACTGCTTCTTAAAAAACATATACCAGATTCTTCAGTACTAGAAATAACATAGTAAAATAACTTTCCCCCTTAATATTTTTTTCAAAGGTTGATGGCCGTCAAAATTACTGTTTGCTTACCCTGTAAGCAATATATCTTTTAAGGGAGAAAACAGATTAAATCTCTATTGATTTTATATGTATTCCCCAGCCGTAAAATGATTCTCTTTATTACAAAGCCATATGGCATTGTGGTGTTTATGAAGCTGCAGGCACTTTGAGTACAAACACTGACAGGAGAAACTGTGACTGCAACAAGAAACATTCTGTGGTCTCCCAAATAAAATGTGAACAAAAAGTCCAGAGAAACATAAAATACAACGTAATTTGCTACCAAGAAGTTAGTGACATTAATTTAATTACTCATCAAGAGCTTTTTTTAAGATTGTAAACCCCAGTGAGCTTGAGACCCAAATAAGGAGATGCAAAGAAAAGATGGTGATTACTGAAGGAAAGGGAAAATGTACTTGCCAAATTTACCCAAGGGAACACCAAAATACAGTAAATATTATTGCCGTGTACTGATTAGGAACAGATTTACATTTTGGGTTGCTGAGAGAAAGTGGTATTTAAGAACAATACCTTCTTCCTGCCTCACAAATAGAAAACATTATCTACTTCAGCGTGCCACTCCAAATCATCTGCCTAAAAATGGCTTCTATCTTGGTGAACATGCCCTCAACAACTAGGAGAGTGCAAGATATTAAGATGCCACCTTTTCTTGAGTCTCTGACCCTTTTAGCAATTGCATGAAAATCTTGGAGCTTATCCCTGGAAAATGCATATAGACACAATATGTGCACACAATTTCAGGTGGATTGCAGATCCCCTGGAGTACATCTACGACCCAAAGAAATCCTAAGATAAAATGTTCATGCTAAGGACAGAAGCAGCCTTAAAAGTTTGGAAAGAGATCCTATATGTCCTCAGAAATCCAAGCAACAGTCTGTTGGCCAACAAAGTGTCACAAGCCAATAGATGTTTGTTCCATCACTGCACTTAGAAAGCTAATTAAGTTTCACCTAAACTCTCCTGGTTTTGGCTTTGTGCTTGTGTTGCATGAGGTTCTTACAGAGAAACATTTTTAGGCTGTAATAGTCCTGAATTATTCAGATTATGCGACTCATCCTAAAAAAGAAATTGGACTAGACTAATTCAGCCTGACTTCATTTTCTTGGATATTCCAGCAGCTATTTAGTGGGTTTACAAGTGGCAGCAAAGGGCCCAGGCATAGTGGGGCTGAAGAATGCGGTTACTGTGGATGCCATGAAAGTTCACGTGGTTGCCTGACATTTAATGGAAAACTACTGATGAGTTTTTGGAGTTATTCTAGGACCCTCAAAGTACATTCCTCCTGAGATACCTCAGAAATAATCACCCTATATTTCACTGACCTTGCATCCACATAACTAAACAGATATTAAAAAGGCCTCATATAAATGACCTTCCTCTACAAAATCAAACACAAATACCTGTGAGACAGTAAAAGGGAAATGTTTATGGCTACTCCCCCTGCCTCACCTACATACTCTCACCTATGTCTGAGGTGGTCGCATAAAAGAGGCCAGCAGTTGTAACTCATGGGTAGCTTCCACCAAAGGTCTCTGAAACCACATGAACAGGGCATCTGTCTTGACCTAGCCAACAGCCTGCCTCAAATGTGTACAGATTATTTTTTTGCAAATGTGGTTATTCAAAACCTTTTCAACATACTTCTTAATATCAAATATATGCAGGGAAATACAACTCAAGTCATGAGGGTTAAAAAGACTTAGAAAACACAAAAAGACTATTCCTAAGGAACTAACAAATAATTTTAGCCCCTTGAAGGAGCACCTATCATTCTGCAACTTAGGCTGAAAACAAACTAATTTTTTACTCCTCCTTATATCCAATTTTCCTCCAAAACTAAATATACTTACCCAGTTGCATCAATTCTACCTTGCACATAACCCTCTATTTTCAGTCTTAAAGTCAGGACTCTAATTCAGTTTGTTATGAATTCATAAATGGGCTATGGCAATCTTTTACATGTCTTTACTTTTGAGCACTTATTGGTTCCACATATTTGACATGGAAAAATGTACTTAATTTGGAGGTATCTTTTAATGATCTTTTTTTTTTTTTTTGAGACAGAGCCTTGCTCTGTCGCCCAGGCTAGAGGGCAGTGGCGTCATCATAGTCATCAGAGCTCACTGCAACCTCAAACTCCTGGGCTGAAGAGATCCTCTTGCCTCAGCCTCCTGAGTAGCTAGGACTACCGGTGTGCACCACCACACCTGGCTAATTTTTCTATTTTTTGTAGAGACAGGGTCCTGCTTTGCTCAGGCTGTTCTCGAACTCCTGACCTCAAGTGATCCTCCTGATCAAACATTTGGCATAATGTTTTGAGTTGTTTCTATTAAATAGTGGACATTAGACCACTGATTTGGAAAATACCCTCTATTATTACATTTCTATAAAAATATCAGTACTGTAAATACATCATTGACTTTTATTATTCTGATCTGCAATCCTTTTTGAACACAACACATCTTAAGGTAAAACTTTTAATGAGATATTTTATATGGCTATGAAATAAATAGAAAATAGAATAATTCTGTGTAGACTTCAAAAACTACTTTGAAATGTAATATTGCTATAATAGGAAATTTGAAAAGAATTATTTTCCTCAAGCTCTTGGTTTTTTTTGAGCAAACTGTGAAGCTCATATTAGATTCCATACTTCCTTATTCTTGGCCAGTAAACTTCCCGTTAGACTGTGATTTTAGATCTCTCAGGAGACCAGGGATTTGCTAAGATGACATATAGGCTAAACTAAAATTCAAGTAGCAAAATACGAGCATTAAAGTACTTTTCTTCAAATTTAAATAAACCTTAAAATCATCACAATAAATATTTTAAAATATAGCTAAAATTTATTTTCTTACTGGTAAGTTCTAATGAGTCCATGTGTAGAGTTTAATCTCTCTAAAGTGCTAACAGACAGCAGTCCAATTTTATGTATTATTTGATTAACTCCTACAGTATGAGTCAATGTAACACAAGGTAACACAAATGTAACACATTCTTCTTTGATTATGTAGACATGATGCTCTACAGACCTTTTACCTATACAAAAGTAGGCTTGGTTAATACCAAAAAGTATAAAGGTAAGCAATCAATTCAAATCAAAATTTAAATTTGGCTTACAATCACTGTAACTACAGCATAGCCCAGTGAATACGTCTTAG